GCATGGTGATCAGATCATGATATGAATAAACGTAACAGTTTAAATAATGTACCAGTAAAGCCTTCTCATGGACCACCCTGAGAATTTGCCCCCCCCCCTACATGCCTGCTGTCAGCAATATAGACAATACTGACTTGGCTAGTTTTGCTCACTATTCGCCCTGCTGTATAAAGCAATCTCCTATATTTCTAAGCTGTATTGTTCATCATGCAGATTTTTTCCTTTTTTCCTTTGTATGCAGGTGTCCATAGAAAACACACTTGTTCTGGGTTAGTGTTGCCTATGTATAATTTTTATAGAATATCAGATAGATGAAGGAAACAGCGACTGAATTATTTTTAGAACTTTTTATCAAGAAGGGAGCATTGCAACATCTGTGTGTTTCATAGGCCAAGGACAGACATTTTAATGCTGATTAAAGTTTTAGGGTGAGCTCTTTTATACTAATTAGAAATTAACTACTCATGCTGAATTTTAATAGCAAATTAAAAGATTCTGACCAAAGACTTAAAAAATTATATGCTATCTGATTAGCTCTTAAATGTTGTTAAGACAAGATTTACTTTTCTGAAACATTCAATAAGCTAATTATTGTTTTATAATACAAATCAAAATTCAATGTTCACTGGTGTTTTCTTAACCTAACGACTGTAGAAGCTAAGTACAGGTATGCCTCAGTTGACAAAGTAGAAGTGGTCCTAGTATTACTTTTTAAGAGGAACTTTTGAATGAAGCAGAAATCATGTGGAAAGAATAGGACAGGTCCTTAAACCACAGAAAGAAAGAAAGAAAGAAAGAAAGAAAGAAAGAAAGAAAGAAAGAAAGAAAGAAAGAAAGAAAGAAAGAAAGAAAGAGCAGTTCAATAACTTCCAGCAAACCTTTTATTCAAACCCAACAATGGCCACATGTAAAACAAAACAGCCAGGTCAAATTAGCCTTCATATTGGTATAAATATTCTCAACCTTATAAAAACTACTTGGAAGCATCCAGGGTCATTTTTTTTAAAAAAAATACCAGTCTCTAAGGGCACATCTTATATCTAAGGTCAGTATAGAAAGCTATCAGCCCCACAGTGGCTAGACATTGCACAGAGCTGATCGGAATTCATCTGGGACTTTACCACATTGGTGTTGGTGCATTCGCACACATGAATATATGTGGACACTGTGTTCAGATGTCCATTTGCTGTACCTTTGGAACCTTAGTTCAGTACCCCAGGGTTGTCATTGAAAATAAGGATTGTGTGCCACAATTTCTGTATATCTTCACTTACCAATCCCAGTTTAAGACCTTGATCACAGTCATAACCGCTTTTGGCAAATATATCCAGCAACTTTTAATAATGCTTACATAGTATTTTATTTTGTTTAATATTTTATTTTACATTGAATGGCTGAAAAGTTGACCTCCATGGAATTTTCCATTCCTCTGTAAAGTATGAGTTGTTGTCTTAAAAAGTACATTTAAAATAATGCAGCAGGGCTAGTATTCAGTGATTTTTCCTCATGTTCAAATGGATGAGGCTGGAGGGATGGATATGTACATGGATAAATGGACTCTTCTGACAAATGGAGCCTCATTGGTCTTTCAGAAGTTTTTCATATATTTTCTTACTTAGGAACAGCCTAGGTAGAAGATCCACAAATGTATTTTTTGTATATGAGTAAAAGAGAAACAGAAAGAGTCCATCATAACTTAAAGGATATCAGATGAACAGCACTGGTAAAAGGACATATTAAGCTTTCTCTTCTGCTCCTATTTTTCTGGTGTAATTCATTATCTCAAAGCTGCCATTGCCATTATAAAGAAGCAATTTAAACATGGATATTTTTCCTTCCATAGAAACCTTTTTTTCTTTTATGAGCTGGATATAGATTTTGAAAATGCCATAAGAAAAAGGTTAAATACTCTTCTGTCTACATCATATTCTCAACCTGATCTACACCCTGCCACCTCTAGTGGTTACATTGGAGTGAAAAAACAGTTTAAAATCACAGATTTCTCAGTATCTTTTCCAGATAGATTGGACCATGGGGACAATATTTTATTAAAAGATTTTCTCTATGGGCTTAGCATGACCTTCAACCATGTCAACCAAAGTCCAGAGCAACCCAGGACATTTGGAACCATGACCAAAACAATAAGTGACTTTGGGCTTTTGTAAACAGTTATACCAGTTCCAAAATGCAACCGGCTGCAAGTGTTTACACAACCATCCCATGTTTCCTGGGTTTGAGTGACCCAGGGACATGGGACAGTGCACACCATCTTCTACCATTCTCCTTATCATGGTGGCCAGCAGGCGTGACATGTTTCGAGCCAGTTGCTTGTCACCTGAGGTGATACTGGCTGGAGCATTAAGACAATCAGAGAAGAAAGGGGTAGTGGAAGGGGCAATTCATCTCCCCCCCCCCCCCCCCCCCCCGCCCCTTTCCTATCGCTCTAGTGCATCAGCCAACATAGTTCCTGGCCACCACAACAAGAAGCAGGGAGGGGATGGTAAGGGTGGCAGTCTAGTGGGACTGAACCTTACTGCCCACTGTAAGGACTCCCTCTCATCTCTGCAGTGGCTGGAGGTGGTTGTGGAATAAACCATCCTATGCCACACAAGATCGGCCTTGGGATAAGGGTGAGACCTATTTTAATAGAACTAACAATTGCTAACTTAAGATGCAAAGTATGTAATGAATTATCACTGGGCGGGCACCCCCTGAAGCAGCATACTTCATTGCCAAATATAACTATATGATAAGTGAATCAGACAGGCATTGTAGCCATTTGTGACATTTCTATGCCAAGGATTCCCAATTCCACAACAGAAGTTCACATAATTATTTAACGTCACTTTTTATGTTGTCTATTCTACTTGTCTACCTGTGGAAGGCAATAGAGTGAAGCAGATGTAGGGGGAGCTGGTATACTAAACTATCAAGACTGTACTTAAGGTTTCATGTTCAACAGCCATCCCTGTACTGCTTCCATTGAGTTCTGATAAAACTATTCAAACTATTGCATGCTGAAGCTTGGTGGGACATTGTTCACATGTGGTTGTTATCTATATCCTCTCTTTTGACCAAATCATCCATGTATGCCTGGAAGTAGTGGGAGGATGCTATTGCAAAACCACAGTCAGCCCTCCGTATTTTTGGGTTTGACATTGAGGATTTGATTATCCACAGATTTTATTAAAGTATTATCTCTAGAAATCTCCTAGGATCTCTATGTGAGTCTATGCTCAGATTTTTGCAGAAGTTGACCATAGAGTCATGTTGGAGGATGTAGAAATTCTTAAAGAGATGTTTTCTCAGGTAAACTAGTAGCATTTATTTATCTGTGGTTTTTCACTCCTAATCTCACAGAATGCCAAAAGCTGTCTGTATATGTAAATGTTGGATGCTTCAGAAGTTCTTGGGCTTGTCTTGGAGTTGTATTTTTATTTGTAACCTAGAGGAACCTCAGGAAAATACTTAAGTGGCAACCATTTCCGGCAATATTTGAGGTGTTTTCATCAAATATTGCAGCACTTTGTGGTTCAGAGTTAGAAAGTGAGAGTGAAAAGCATGATTACCTTTCTCCAATACAAATTGTTAGACAATCAGCAATATTTCTAAACTGTTTGCAAATTTATACCTAATTGTTTAATTCTGATATGTGCATTGCTTTTGTAAGAAATAGTTAAGTGTTTTAAAATTAGAGTGGTACAATGCATAATATTAGCTAATTATTTAGATATGTCCAACCTTTGCACAGTTACTTTGATTTTTGACTCTGATGTTCATATACATATTATGTAAAATTGCTATCAATAAAATTAACATTTTACCCGAAACAAATTAAGAATAAATATATGTTATTTTTAAAATGTTAACAACATGCATTGAAAGCATTGGTTGAAAAGAACACCCAGTTTTCAAAGTACAAAGATAACGCTGAGTTCAGACATGCATATTCACTGATTAATGAGTATGTGAAATAGCAACCACTCGGAAAGGATAAACACAGAGAACTTTTAATTTCAGACTTAATATTTTTCATAAAGGAAATCCACATGTTCAGCTGTAACTCATTCAATCATCACAGTGCTAATATACATGCATTTGTAAATTTGCTATTTTGGAATAACTTGTTTATATATAATGTGCTTTATTAGGCCAAACCTGGAAAATAATATATTTTCAGGAAGCCAGAACAGCTTGATAGTGGTTTGTTTATGAGCTGCATATGCAAAGGCAGCAATTTTGTTATGAGATTCAGACTTAAAAACATTTGAGAACGTAAACTACAGTAGAAGATATTCTATACTTCTGGTTTAACATGGCAGCTTCCCTCCCCCCCAGGTTCTCTCCCTTCCCCCCCCTCCCCCCAGTGATTAATGGACCTGAAATACTGTTTTTATCAGCTTGTGGAGAGATTGAGTGACCCATGTTTAAACTGTAAAATTAATGTGTCTGCCTTTAGTAATTGAACAAATGGACAAATATTTCTCAGAGCAGTGTGAAATCTCTTTCTCTCTTTTTCTCTCTCATGCACACACACAAACACACAAACAAGTGCTAGCATGTATCTGTATGTGACCATGGGAATAAACAACAGAGGGACAAATGAATAGTCATGGAATTACTTCACCAGTACTGAACTAGCTCATTAGATCAGAGTTGGCTTTTTAAGGTATTTGTCTAACTACTTGGTCAGTACAGGAAATCTACAGCTAGGGTTACCAAAACCAATGGCTGTCTAACCTGTTCTTCAAGACATCCAGTGATAGAGACCTCATTGATGGAGAACACACTACTGCCTAGGTAACTAGTCTCACTGGCATAACTGATCATTCTACCAAGATTTTTCTTTTAAAGTACTAGCCTGAAGTATTGGACACATTAAATGATATCAAAATAATAATAAATCTATGAAAGATGAGCATTATAATAACATGCTTTTCTTATTTTCTTCCCATTTCTTCTTCTTTCTTTTTTTTTTGTTCTTCATACTTTCCCTATAGAGGTCCTTCTGTAGTGCTATGGTAGAGGAGCTGAGGATGTCTCTGAAGTGTCAGCGTCGGTTAAAACACAAACCGCAGGCTCCTGTTATTGTGAAAACAGAAGAGGTCATCAACATGCACACATTTAATGACAGAAGGTTGCCAGGTAAAGAAACTATGGCATAGAGCTGGGAAGCCAAACAACCCCAAGCACAAACTATTGTCCTTTATTTTATTTTTTCTTCTTTTTTCCCAAAACAACTTTTGCGAGAATGTTTCCTGTGGAAATATGCAACTTGTGCAAAATAAAATGAGTTACCTCATGCCGCTGTGTCTATGAACTAGAGACTCCGTGATCTAAGCAGTTGCAAAGGCCAGACTCCAATTCACAAGCATCATGGATCAACCAAGTTTCTAAGGGGAGGGAGGGCTGTGGGTGTGGGCATTCCACCATTTGTCACGGGTTCCACCATTCCTTAATGAATGAAAGTTCTTTGTGAGTTTTATGGCTGGCTACAAATACAGTCTCAGTGAGAAACGGCAAGTCCCTTTTCTGAAGTTCATCTGCTGCCAGGGGCTGGAGAAGCAATTGAACAACTAAAGAAACTAACTACCAGAGAAGTCTTTGAAAAATAATAGCTCAGAACTCTTGTAGGGGAAGAAGAAAAAACAGACTTTGTTTTGTACTCTTAAGTGTAGAAGACCTTGTATCTGCTGGCCAAAGTCAGCATGGTGGTCATGCCAGCTGATATGAGCTTATTTAACGGCAAAGTCCAGAACATTCAAAAATGGAATCTCCCAAAATAGAAGAATGAATACAGGAAGTGTTACCTGCTTTTTGATTGTCTCTGTGTCATTGACCTGAATAAAAGTAAAACCACTCAGTCAGGCAGTAGAAAGTTGCATAGTTCACCTATACTGGAACTCTGTTGTATCAGAACTCAAAAGAGGTGGACCCTATGTTGGATGACACAAAAAGTTTCCCTGTCATTTCTTTTTTTTATATAAAAAAACACACAATGTACCCTTTGTTGCTTAGATCTAAGCAATTACTTGATTGTTCAACTGTGAAGCAAAGAGCATATCTGACATAATGAAGGTGGTGGTTATTTTTAGCCAAGAAAGGGTTTGGGCATCTCTTATCTCTGGTTTGAAATGAACTTGATAGAGCCTGTAGAATTGTTGCTAATAGTGGGAAAAAGGATGGATCACATAAAAAGGAAAGAATGTGTAGAACTTAAAAGTTAAGGGTGTTTAAATGAGTAAAATTCTTGAGCAGTTCCTCCCCCCACCCCCACCCCCAAATACAAGGAGAAAAGGTTCAAGTTTATTTGTGGAAATGCAAGATTTCTATGAAAATAGTTTTTGTATGGAAATTTTTTGTAATACTTTTTAAATCAACAGTCTCAAGAACCTGTGATCCAATCAGGGGTGTGGTGCCAAGAGTGACTGGTAGTGTGTACGCAGCACCACCAACGTTTGGTGAAAACTATTTTTATCAAAGAAAAAAGGAGAATCTTAGAAGAGAAATATTTTCAAGTTAGATAATATAAAATCTAGGTGCACTACCAATACTACTTACCATACCACACCCCTGGATTTCACTAGCCTGATAATATACTATAATGAAGAGACGTGTGTAAATGATGAAAGACACAGACCTCTTGACCACATTGTGATAACAGTTGAAGTGCACACAGTTTGCTGTTTGAATCCAATGCACAACATTAAAAGAAAACCAACCACACACACATTAACAAAATTGTCAGTTCTTAGTTGTTTTGTGGGTTGGGTGGGTTGGGATTGCTATGTGATTTGAGCAATGTGTGCTCAGTACTGTCAGAATTGGTACTCACAACCTTCTTATATTGGGGTCTTCTTCTGCAAACATTTACTACCCAACATTTACTTTGGCAAGAATATTAGCATCTGTAAAGTGTTTGCAGGTTGAGGCTTATTCTTCCTTTCAATGAATCTCTAACACCTGGACACAAATGAATATAAATCCTTTCTGTATGAACGTTCTAGGAAGGAATGCCCATTGCCCAATGTGTTCATGTGAAACTTTTGTTAATTCCAACTTGAATGTACACTGGAGAAGCACCTCTCTATTGCTCCCCCATAGCCCTTTTTGGGAAACACCTATGCTAGTGATATTTAAAATAACAACAACAGATGCTTAAACTGCCTTTCTGGTGCTCAGTCAGATATGATACCGACCTAATAATTTTAACTTAGTCTTACTGTACATTTGTATCCTGAAAATGAAAATGTATAATGGTGCGATATGTAGGGACACTTGCCTACACCCACAATTTATAAATATAGCTTTTTATTCCAAACAGATCATTTATTTCTTTTATTTTCTTTTTTAATAAACAAGATCCAAACACTATTTTGTATAAACAATGAGTCATCTGTGGATAATGGAAGTACTGACGATTCCAACTGAAAGAAAATTCTGATGAATTTATTTGCATTCTCATTGTAAAAAGGGACACATGACCACAGATGTACAGCAATACAACCAAAACTGTTAAGATTTATGAAAATTATCTTAGTGCATTGCATCCAACTCTCTATTCCTTATGTTTTGTACATGGGGATACATGCCTGAAGCTATAATGACCCCAATGTTCTCCTTGTTTTCTTGAATAGAAAGTTGAGATCCTTGAGCAAAATGAGATGTGGCTTCAGAGCTGTTCTGCACCATTGACACTGATCTATATGTCATTGAGTTGAATTGAGAATCATGAATGCAAGTCAGATCACCTTCTTATAATCCCATCATACATTTAAAAAAGGATGCCTCCTGGAGCAAATGCATAAAAGATTGCAACATAGAGCATATTTCAGGTATCACTTAAGCTACTTTAGCAGGAGTTTGCTGTTATCACTGTAAAACATTCATAAGAAAAACAATGGCAGTAGAGTCACAATAGCATTCTATACATTGAGCCCATTTTGTGTAGGAAAGTTACCACCAGGAAGTTTTATGGTGTCCATTTCACACAGTAAATACGGCCAATTATTATATCAACTCACATCTCAATGCAATACAAAATTTTATTACGGTCACTGACCAGCACAAAGTGGGGCACAAGCACGCTGGGAAGGGAAAACACAGCTCCCCAGTCAAGCAGTTATTAAGAAAACAGTTTAAAAACACAGGTTAATGTAATGGAACCGGGGGGGGGGGGAAGAGACTGATAGGAGGGGTCAAAATACTGGGGGAGCACTAAAGGGGATGGGAGGGGCACATTACAAGTCAAGATTTATTTCAGCTGTAGTAGATTGCTCTAACTACAATCAATCAAATCTTTATTTCGGTCACAGGTCAGCATAAGGCAAAAAAACTTTTACATTGTACATTAAAATCTAAAAGGCTAAAAAACAGGGATATGATGATGAAGGCTGAAGGCTTAAAACTGTTTTAAGAGATATTTTAAAAAGGAGACAGGGCTAATGGGAAAAGGGGGGAGGGAAGTTGATGAGGGGTAGGAGCATTCAGGGCATGTCCAGGGGAGTTTGGGGCACTAATCTATAGTTCAGTTAGCTGATGGTTAGATTGCAAACTTTTAGAGCCAGTCATCACCCGGTGGATTTTGAGTGCTGCTGCACAGAACTTGGAAGCATTGTGAGTTATAACTGAGTTGGTGTCTGCAAGCAGCAAAATTTTCCTGGGCAGCCTGGGAAATTGGATATCAAAGATAGGATCAGTCTACATCAAATATCACTGTACAACAGGCACTGGAGGAGCATGTGTTCAGTTGTATCTGTGTGACCTGAGTCACAAGGGAAGAGTCTCTCTGGAAATGGGATCCTGTGGAATCAGCCTTCAAGTACCGCTGATGGAAGGACGTGGCATCGGGCCAGGGTGAAGGCCTTCTGGTGATTGGGAACCTCTAGATTTGTTAAGTATGCCATAGGGGAGACAAGATATTTGCTGGCTTCATTGGCCATGAAGGTCGGGGCGGAGACTACATCCAACTGGTGCTCTGTGTCTGTGATACATTACTTAATGAGTGCTTTGGCTTGATCGTATTCCATACTGAGTAGCAACCCCGGGGAGAAGTCCAGTGATGGGATTTTCATTGCTACTGCCTGTTTGCATGTGAACTGGAAGTCATCTTTCAAGGTTAGTGGAGCACGACCAAGAGGAACATGGGATAATCTGAGCCAGTAGTTGAGTATGACCAGCCACACCCTGGCATCCACTCTCATGGAACCAGTCTTCAGTCACAAAGTGACATTGGAGACACATTTTGGTACTTGCAGAGCTGATCTCGGGAACTTTGACTGTATCAGCTCTAGTGGGGCAAAACTGGAGAAGGGGCCTAGCTGGGCACCATATAGGAGTTGTGCTAGAGGCTTAGCTTCAAATAGCTTAAAGGCTGCAGGTATGAAGTGCCCCCCCCCCCTTGTCTTGAGGTATCTGAGATTGGCTAGTGAGCTCCTCTGTGAGTGTCAGTCACATGGTCTCCATGGGCTCTTCTGCAATTTGTCTTATACATAAAATCGACTTATATACAAGTATATATAGCATATGTAAAAAAGATGAGAGCTGGTTATTTGTCTGCTTTTCATTTGATGTAAGCATATCATCAAATGTAAGCATTTGATGTAAGCATATCATGGGAGTGGCTTTTACACGTGAAACTAAAGTTAACTTTTTAATACAATAACATCAGAAAAAAACATTATCTGGAGTGTTAAACCTGTCTTCAAATCCCAACCTGGATAAAGATAATTCTTCTGATATTCCAGTTAAATCAGTTTGTACCACTGTGTGTGTGTTTTTTTTTTACATGGGTTGAAAATTCTAAACATTTTCTGGATGGAGTACCTAAGAAAAGTCAGCTTGCAGCCTCTGTGGTGACATGAAAGATTAAGAGATTAGGAGGAAACATCACCACCACCTTGATATCCCTTCTTCCCCTGAGTAATATTTAATTTGCTTGGGATGTTTCTAGACCTTGTGAGAATAAGAAAACACTACATAATAGCCTTATTGCAATGAACAACTTCTGGCTCAGGAATATCATAGAATTGCACTGGAGGGTTTAGACAATTCCTAAATAGGGACATGAATAAATGAAACTGTGGATACCAGTACTGTGGATATGGGGATCATACTGTATAGGTAAGTAATGTAATGATTTAATATGATAACACTGCATTCCCTTCTATGCGTGTTACATTATGGATTAGCACTGAAGTCTAATAGGAAAATGTTACTGTATTCACTCAGTCATGATCACAATAGTCTATATGTTTAGCCACCCTGATCTAACAGACCTCTGTAATCAAATACACCTCAATAGGAAATAGGTGTAGGAAGTGGAATCCTGTTAGGCAATTAAAGATACATAACCTATAGTTATGCATTCATAACTGCTATGTATTCATTAGGGATGTGCGATCAATAAAAAAGTTTCAAAAGTAATTATAAAATGAGAGGTGCTGGCGCTTCATTTCTAAAGTATTTCTGAAGTGTACTTGGTGAAAATTTCATTACTATTATGAGAGTAACGAAATTCTGTTACTAGTGGGAAAGTGTGCAAGTGGGAAAACTTCAAGGACTCCTCCCTCATTTCTACAGCTATTGGGATGGAATTTGCTACAATGGTAGAACATATCTACCACTCTTAGCCCACCAAATTTCAGAACGTTTTGCTTATCCATGGATTTTTAGGGAATTTTCAAAGTTTTTATTAACATTTGTTTTAAACACCTACAAGACCTCCTTGAATTTTCTATACAATGACACAAGGTAAAAGGGGATCATTCCCCCCCAACTGAGAAATATCCATGCATCTACTGATTTTAGGTTTTTTTTAAAAAAAACCAAAAAAATTATTGAAAAAATGCCACATCACTGAATCTCTCTCATATTAACCAATAGAAGAAACCAATATTAACCAATCTTACATTTTCATAGAATCCTAGAGTTGGAGGGGTCCTCCAAGTGTAATCTAGTCCAACTCACTTCTTCCAGGCATAAGAGCACTATCAAAATCCTCTTAACAGATGGCCATCCAGCCTCTAAATTAAGTAATTATTAATATGCCTCCCAGGCAAAAAGGCATGGCTGTGAAAGTGAGGCAATGCTCCTAGTGGGGAGTGACGCATCATGGCCACTGCATTGCAGAAATGAAAGAAATAGTAAGTGGCTTCTGAAATGTGGAATGAACCACTAAATTACTAACACTATGTGGAATGAACCACTAACAAAGCTGCCCTTCTTGAAGTCCAGTTGGTGCAGCCCCCAGGATGGCCAAGGGTCTGGGACAGAGTGGTTGGCTGGCCACCTTGCCCCACAAGGAGAAAGGCTGGTCATCAAGAGCCATAATTTCTCCCACACGCTGGGTGACCTGCTTGGTGGTGGGCAGCTCTTCTGAAATCTGATCTTGCCCATGGGCATGCCTGAAAGTTCCAGGGTGGTCTGCAGCTCCCCCCCCCCCCCCAATGGCAGCAAGGAAAGTTGGAGTACTCTGGCTGCTGCTGCTGACAGTTTCTCCCTCCAATCTAGATTCAAAGACATTATCATCCTCCTGTGTTAGCTCTATAGGCAAACCCAGTCCTGCCTCCACCACAGGAACAGGAACTGGCAATTGGGACTAAGAGCGTCGAATCACAGCAGTTCTACTGGTACTAGCATCACCAAGCTTTTTTTCATGTCAGGAGCGACTTGAAAAACTGAAAGTCACTTCTGGTGCTATTAATTCTGTAGTATAATAATAATAATAATAATTATTATTATTATTATTATTATTATTATTATTATTATTATTATTATTATTATAGTGTGGTTTTCTGGCATTGTATATTTCTACCGCTTCTGTGATGGTTCATTTGTATTTTGATTCTGTAGCCCACTTGTCAATGGATGTTCAAAATCAGCAGCATCCACCACGGTCCTTTTTATCCTGGGTGTCGACTGAGCCAGTATAGAATTTGTTTTGGTTTGCTTCTCCATGGTGCTAATGGGTTAAGGTGCTCTTGGGGGGTGGCATCCCTGGGTGGGCTTTATTTATACCCTGTCACCATCTCCCCGAAGGGCTCCATTCACACTCTGGAAGGTATTGAGGGAGGAGAGAAACTCAACGTATCAATTTCCAAGTATGTTATAGCTTGCTAGACTCAAGATATCCAATTTCCCAGCAGGGTTGGCTCTTTTTTTCCAGGTCAGGTGTGTCAGTTAGTGTGCGGCCAGCTAATATAATATTAGGCTCTGGTACCCCCTGGAATTTAAAGGCAAAATGGCGGTCACTTCACCTCTGCCTCCCTCTCCCTCATCCATCAGCCCTGATTGGTTGAGAGGCATGTCAACAAGTTTTGCTTTGCCTCTCAGCAGGGTTGGTTGACCTGTAAATTTTAACTGCATCAAAGAAA